CAGGGGAAGATGAATGCCAAAGACAGCTACCTCTCTGCTTTTCATGGGGTCCAATACCTAATCAAGAAATTCTATACACTGCCAAGATGACATTCAATATTAACCATCACAAGTCCACTCCTTGCCATCTTGACATTCAAACATTACCATTTTCAAACCATAATTTTTACCCTTCATCCCCATAAGCTCATGATCATCTCATAATACAAAATAAACTCATTCCAATATCAAAAGCCCCCATAGTCTTTAACAAGTCTAGCACTATTTAAAAGGTCAAAGTCTCCTTTGATACTCAAGACAATTCTCTTAATTGTGAATCCTGTAAAATTAAGTTTACAAGTTAAAAGCATCTTTTACACAACAGCACAAAGTAAAGATTCCATTTCAAGTGGAAAGGATAGGAAATAATAAGGAATGACTAGACTAAAATCCAGAAAAGAAGACATCAAATCCTACAATTGCATGCATGGCATCTGGGACTCATATTAACATCTGTGCTCTAAAAGACGTGGATATTCCTACTCTTCCAACTCTGATGCCTGTAGCACATATGGCTTCTCAGACAGGCTCCAGTGCATGCCTGCAGCTTCCCTTAGGAATTCCCCCTTAGTCCTGGCATCTCTAACATCCTGGCATCGCTAACATCACGGCATTTCCATGGCTTCACTTTCACAGCTTTACACAATGGGCTCTCAAGACTTCCCTAGAGGGCCACATACTGTCTGGCCCCAGTGCCTCTCTGTATATTTAGTACAATACTTCAGGGTTTTCCCTACCCTTCATCATTTATGCCTACAAAACAATACCATGAGGAGGAGGAAGATGGCAAATTCTGTTACCAGTGGGGTTGAGCCTAGCCTCATTGGACCATAGTTACATTAGCTTCTGTGTGGCAAACCTGGAGAAACATTTCCCTAAAGCTTTGCTTTCAAGGAGAAGGAAACCCCTTTCAGTTGCATGCTTAGTTTATTTGGTCTCCTTTCAAATAAGTTTAGATTTACAAATAAAAGCATTTGACAGTCAAGTTCCTGCCCATAAGACACTTCCTACTGTTCCAATACAAGGCCAGAAATTCCATTTAACTTTGTACCCTATTTCCTAGCATGCACCTTGGCTGCAACTTTTGACTTGTTTGAGATTTTTCCCCCTAGACAAACTGCATTTTTTCTTCATGAATAACCTTTTGCTCCTTTTCACAGTGGACTTGAATACAAGTAAATTGTAACTATGTAACATCGAGAATTCTCTCCTGTAAAGAAATTTCCTCTGCCAAGTAAATTAGTCCCTCACTTTTAAATTTAAATTTTCTTAACTTCTCAGATCATGGGTAGAGCAAAAACCAGATTCCTGGCCAAAATATCTTATGAATGGATCCTAGTCCAGCTCCTGATAGAGTGCTTATTCCCTCCAGAGACTTCACGAGCCAGATGGATATAGTTTGCCCTTCTGTCAGCCTTCTCGCCTACCAGAATTCCATCAGAGTAGCCTTCCAAGCTCTGATAACAGTATCTTCGAGTACTTCTTGTCCAGGGTTCCAAATTCTTCCACATTCCGCCTATGAACCAATTCCAAAGTTCCAAGAGCCACCTGGTCAGGTTTATCACATGACACCTTCTCAGTATAACTTTTCTTAGTTAATTGTCTTATTGTTGTGATAGAATAATTTTACAGAAACAGCTTAAAGTAGAAAGTGTATTGATTGTATATTTGATTTGTTCATTTGTTTTGGATCATAGTTCTAATTAACAGTACATCATGTTAGGAAAGTCTCTGCAGCAGGAACTTGAGACAGCTGGTCACATTGTATCTACACAATCTGGAAACAGAGGAAGATGAATGTTGACACTCAATTATCTTTCTCCATTTTATTGAGTCCAGAATCCAAATCCAGGGATTAGTGATACCCACTTCTGGGATGGAAATAGATCTACTCATCCCATTTAACCTAATCAAGGTAATTCCTCATAGATACGCCAACATCTTGTCTCTACTCAATGATGACTTGGTTAAGGAAGAAATAAAGAAAGAAATTAAAGACTTTTTAGAATTTAATGAAAATGAAGGCTCATCATACCAAAACTTACGGGACACAATGAAAGCAGTGCTAAGGAGAAAACTCATAGGTCTAAGTTTCTACAAAAAGAAACTGGAGAGATTGTACACTAGCAACTTGACAGGACACATGAAAGCTATAGAACAAAAAGAAGCAAATACACCCAAGAGAAGTAGACGGCAGGAAATAATCGAACTCAGGTCGGAAATCAACCAAGTAGAAACAAAAAGAACTATACAAAATATCAGCAAAATCAACAAGATAGATAAACTCTTAGCCAGACTAACCAGAGGGCACAGAGACAGTGTACAAATTAATAAAATTAGAACTGAAAAGGGAGACATAACAACAGAAACTGAGGAAATTCAAAAAATCATCAGATCCTACTACAAAACCTTATAGTCAACAAAACTGGAAAATATGGATGAAATGGACAATTTTCTAGACAGATACCAGGTACCAAAGTTGAATCAAGAGCAAATAAACCATCTAAACAGTCCCATAACCCCTAAAGAAATAGCAGCAGTCATTAAAAATCTCCCCATCAAAAAAAGCCCAGGACCAGATGGTTTTAGTGCAGAATTCTATCAGAGCTTCAAGGAAGACCTAATAGCAATTCTCTTCAAACTATTCCACAAAATAGAAACAGAAGGAACACTACCCAATTCATTCTATGAAGCCACAATCATGTTCATACCTAAACTTCACAAAGCTGATAGATTGCCATGATTTCTATGATATCAAAATAGCTTAAAAATTAAAAGATGATCAGTTCACTAAGATGAAAGCAAAACAATGAATCATAGTTTCACAAAATAGAAGCGTAAATGTTTCTAAAATGTAAGATATATTTGGATCCATTAATCATTAGGGGAATGTGAATATTAAAATCCAAGGTGGCTAGCAAAAATTTTGTCAAAAGTTCATTCCAAGGATATAAAGAGCCAAGAAGTCTCATTTGCTGGCAGTGGAAGTCTAAGCTGGTGAAACAACCTTGAAAAATTCAACATTTCCTCAGTGGACCCGAAAATGTTTATTTTTATGACCAGAAATTTGTCTCTTACACATGTAAACACTGTACAAATTTTTGAATCCATATCTTCCAAGTTTCTTGTACAAATAAGCTTGTTTGTAAGAGCAAAAGGAACAAAACTAGTATTATTGATAATAAGACAAATTGTGGCACTTCACAAAATAAAAGCGAAGGAAGACAGCCATGGGATTATGAGTATGATTTCAAGGGCATATGGTCCCAACTAGAAGAAGAAGCAAATCACAAGGGAGAACATATTAGAACAAAACTTGTGATAATAACTATTTCTGGAGTCAAGTTTAGTGTAGTGTGGCAGGAGGTTTAAATAATTAATTCTGTTCTAGTTTTAATGTTGCATGTGTGACATTTGCTTTTGTTATTTTCTGGAAGGTTCAATTATACATTGCAAGCTTTTATATTATAGCATATAAACAATAAGGTGTGGAGGCAGAGAGATGACTCACCAGGAAAGATTGCTTATTGATTGTTTTGGTTTGAATGATAATGACCCCCATAGGCTCAAGTAATTGAACGCTTGGTCCCTAGTTGGTGGAATTGTTTGGGAGGAATTAAGAGGTGTGGTCTTGTTGGAGAAGGTGTGTCACTAGGGGTGCGATCAGGACTTCAAAAGCCCATACAATTCCCAGTTAGCTTTCTCTGCCTCCTGCTTTTGATCAAGATGTAAGCTCTCAGTCACTGTTCTAGCACCATGACTGTCTGTCTGCTATCATGTTCCCTGCCAGTTATGGCCCTGGATTCACCTTCTGGGACTATAAACTCCAAATAAACTTTTTCTTTTATAAATTGCCTTGGTCATGGTGCTTTATCACAACAATAGAAAAGTAACTAAGACATTATCCTTCCAGAAGACCAGAGTTCATTTCCTTTCTAAACAGGAATTGTGCAATAACCTATAACTACAGTTCTAAGGGAACCTGATATCCTCTTGTGGCTTCTACAAGCATTCCCACACATATGGCATATGTACACACGCAAATTACTCTCAGATCCTCTCAGAGTTCCTCCCCCTTAACTGCATACTGATTTTTTCACAACTTACAGAGTGCAATTAGTATTGTAGATTCACCTACTGTAGTATGGTCAGCCATCCCTAAAGAGAATGGGTTCTACCACCTCCTAGCAGCCATCAACCATCAGTAGCTCTTCAGCTAACTGGCTTGATCTTGTACAGGTCTTGTGCAGGCAGCCACAGCTGCTATGTTCATGAGTGCAGTGATACTGTCGTGTCCAGAAGATACCACCATCTTGTCCCAGACCTCCTTGGCCTCTGACCATTACCATCGTTCTACCCTCTCTTCTGAAGTTTTCTGAGATTAGAGAGGAAGGGTATCTATATAAGACATGCCATGTGAGACTGAGCACGCCACAGACTTTGATCTCTTGTGAGTTCCTCACTAACTGTTGCCCATTACACAAAGTTGTCTTTCTGATGAGGACTGAGAGGCACATTAATTGATGAATACAGAGATGCTAATTTGATACTGTCTGGTTTGCAAAATAGTAGGAGCAGGTCCACTCCTCCAGCCTATGAACTCCCCAGATGTGGAATCCTGGCCATTTTATGGTCTCAGGTTTACTCCCATCACATCTGTGACTATGGTACTGATGGACATATCTTGTCAGGCTGGTTGTTGTTGTAGCTCACAGAGTTCACAGCTGGGCAAGACTGCTGATGATTTTCTCCCCCAGCTGCCTGCATTGCACCTTTATGAATGTTAGTCAGAAGGGAAGAAACTTTCAGGTCAGTATCAGCTTGATATTTTTCAAGTCCTGTGATTGAAGTCTATGGTATACTCATCAATAAAGACTTAAAATCAAGTTCTGAAGGACACATAATAGCAATGGCAATATCCTGCACTGTTTGTGAAGTCTGGAAACTTTCTTTCTTTTTTTATCTTTCAAGCTTTTATTCAAGTGCACTGACTTGAGGATGTCTTAAATTTTGTTAAAAGCAGCCACATCCATGGACTGTACGTGGTCCTCAAAAGCGGTAATCTGCTCTTCCAGCATATCTGTTCCAACCTTATCATCTTCAACCACACACTGTATTTGAAGCTTTTTAATTCCGTATCCCACTGGAACCAATTTAGAGGAGCCCCACACCAAGCCATCTGCTTGAATGCTTCGGACACACTCCTCTAGTTTTGTCATGTCTGTCTCATCGTCCCAAGGCTTCACGTCTAGTAAGATGGAAGAGTTTGCAACAACTGCAGGCTTTTTAGCTTTCTTTAATTCATACTGTGCAAGGCATTCTTCTCGTAGCCTCTTTGCTTCTTTGTTTTCCTCCTCCTCATCAGATCCAAAGAGATCAATGTCATCATCATCTTTAGCATCTGCAGCTCCACTTCCTGTGGTGTCGTCCACACTGGTAGGGCCATACTTGCCCAAAGATTTCTTCACTCCCGGCAGGCTGGCCTTTTCTTTTTCGTAAGACTTGATGTGATTATACCAACGCAGGGCATGACACAGGTCAGAGGGTGGTGGCCCAGAGACTGCTTCAAATACTGCCACATCTGCTTGTGATGGCACATACCCCTCAATGTAGCTCTTGTCCGCCAGGTAATCGTTGAGCACCTGGAGGCCGGCAGGGGTTTTCAGGTCTGCGAAACCCATGGTGTCGGCTGTAACCCGGAGCCGAGTGCCAGAAGACCGCAGCCAGCCCTGAGGGAAAAAAGCCTCTGGAAACTTTCTAACCAGCAGAAAAGGAGATATCCCACACCTAGACTTGGACTATTGTCAGTTTGTGGCTTTGGGGGAGAAGTAGTGCTTTCCATGTGGGGTAACTGAATTTAAACTTCTATGTGGGGGATAGAGAATAATGGGAAATTAGGTTTCAGTGGGCAGGAAGATGGAAGGGTAGGAAATAAGTGTAGGGAAGAGATGACTAATATTAAGGATGTTTGAGAAAGCAATATGGAAATCTGCTATTTTGTAAGTTTCTTAATATAAACATATTAGAAACGTAAGTGGTAACATATTTCTTTATAAATACACAATAAAGTAATTTCTAAAACTGGGTTGGTGGCTCAAGTCTGTAATCCCAGCTACCTGGGATGATACAGAAGGATTGCAAATTCAAGGCCTGTCTGGGCAACAAAGTAATTCTATTTACTTTTCTTTCTCTCTTTTTCCATCGTATGATGTTTTAATACGGCAAGAGTCTAAAGGGAATAAATCTTATCTTAGTTAACACCAGCAGACTGAATGTGTCCTGAATACTTTCTGCTGCTGAATATACGTGAGCCAATAAATAAGTAAAGATGAAGTAGATAGAAATTCAGGCTGGGCTGGTCCCCGCTCAGTGCTCCACGGGGGATTTTCTCCTGTGGTAGAGACATGTAGGTGAGTGTTAATGTGGGTTGGGCTCTGGAGTCTACTTCTGCCGTGCACATGGCTTCGGCATGTCTATGAAGATGATCATGTTTTAGCAAGGCCACCATGGATTCCTTACTTGGGGTAACGTAATTAGGATCAAAGAGTAATAGAATACTACTTATAAGCAAGGCATTATCTACAGTGCTGATGTTATAAACAGCTCAGGTGAACCAAGGCCCCTCCTCCCTTTTTTCATCTTTTCCTCCTTTCCTTCTTTTCTTTCTTTCTCCATTTCTACCCATCTCCCTTCATCTTTCCAGATACAGAATTGGATCGATTGTAGAATTGATTTCTCACTGTCTGGATTGGAATCTAGACCTTCTGCTCTTTTAAGTTTCTTTCACAGAGGAGGATATATCAAGAAAAATAAGGGCTTCAAGAAAAAGCAGGTCTCTCAGGGAGCCTGATGTAGTGATCTCTACTTTGGGTGTTTACCAAAACCTGAGTGTGGATCATGCGTTGAGAGGAATAACAAACAAACCGCAACAAATTACCCAAGTTGTTCATAGATGTAAAATCTTCAAGAAGAAATGGAACTGATTGGAACAGTGTCTGACAATCCAAAAATCAGAAGACAAATGCAGTTAAATAAGGATAATTGGATGCTATTGACACCTGACTGACAAACAGGGATGCTACACATGGAAATTTAGGCAGGATGACAGGATGTTACACTTGCTCAGGAGCAACAGGATCTTTTCTTCGCAGATTACTTTAGTTGTAGCTAGAAAAGTTTAAGTTCATTGAAAAAAAACAGGACTCTGAAATCCATTGGCATACATGCACTGCCTCTGTGGAAGACCCTACACAGTAATGAGAGTCTCCAGAGGATAGCTGCCATTCCTCCCTTTTTGTGTCTTTGGAAGTGAGTATTGTTGGATGGCAGGATTTAACACACAAAGGAGGAGTAAAGAGGGAAAGGAAAGCAAAGGAACCCCAGGAAATGCATGAACTAGGTAGAGGGAAGGCACTTTGACCAGACTGGAGGGTGTATGAAGAGGATTATGGGACCAGGGTGCCAGTCACTGGGCTGAAATAAACCCCACAGGAATCATAACCTAATCTCAGCATGGCCCTCAGCAGTCCCTTCCCAGGTCCTTGGTGCTTCTAGACCTCCTCTGATTCTGTCAGTATTCCCTGAAGGAAAGTTATCATTTAGAGCTACCTGTTGAATGCAATGCCCTTATTTAAATAGGATATCTTTCTCTCTCCCTCTCTCCCTTTCTCCCTCCCTCTCTCTTTCTCTCCATCCCTCCTCCCTTCCTTCTCTTCTTCCCTAAGGCATTTCCCTCCCAGCTTTGACAAATCCACAGCCCTAAGTACCAAATCCTCACTATTGTCTATCTTTTAGAGAACTGTGTGGTGTGGCACTGTGCCAGACCCTAATCATTTAGCCTGGGGAGCCCGCCATAGGGAGTTAATCTGAAAGGCAGAATCAGGAGCAAGCCGCCCTCTCTAAAGGTACTGCTAGACCATCAGTGTTAAATTGTATCTGACATTTAATTCCAGCTTTGGCCAGTTTTGTGCGAAAGCTGACTTCAGTGAGACATTGATCAGCCCACAGCTCTTCATGGGTTTTGACAAAATCAATTTTTTCCAGTTGATTGGGCGATCATTAGCTGACTTACAGAAAGGCCTGGGTCATGCACAGCTTTCTGCAGGCCTTGAAGCTGAGTGAGTACGGAAGAAATGATGAAAAATTGCCCCTGCCAGTCATTGCCCCTTTCTCCACAGAAAGGGACCAATTCAAGTCTACAAAAAGCAGACTCATCTTTAATCTCATTGCTTCAAAAATATGTGTCTTTGAGCAAATTATCTAGTCAATTTAGAAAATCATATTCATCTTAGAGAAAGGAGACAAAGTTGGAAGAGACTGATTCCTGGCACTTCTTCCAGTCTATCTTACTGTCTCACATCCCTTTACCTAATGATCACATCTTTATTTACCTAGAGATGCTTTGGAACAAAAACACCTGCTTAATGTGGGGGTCACATGACTGATTACGAAATTTTGTCCAGTGAATCAGTTCAAAGTATTCTAACAAAATGAAATGACAGGATCTCCACCCTTAACAATCATTGACTTCTTAGATGATTCATAACATATAGAAAACCCTTTTCTATCAGATAATAAACTATACCACAAGAAGCTAAGTCTGTGTCTGTTCTCTGTAGCCAGCTGAGCACTAGCTACATAGTCAGTACTTGTTAATGTACAGTTGACAATGAATAATTCAGCTATTGTATTTTTATATTGGAACACTTTGCTGTAGGAAAGTTACTAAAAGCATGTCTTAAATATCCACACTTTTACAAAAATACCTAAAGACTGATTTATTTATATGCCTGCATGTGATAGTACGGCATAGCATAGCATAACACAACATAGCATAGCATGTGTTAAATACTCCAGGAGGGACTGAAGTTAGTTCATATTCAGTCACACTCAGTCATTTTGGAGCATGGAGTAGAACTTTCAGGTGAGGGAGTAGTGTTAACTGTCACTGGAGACACAGCATCAATGAGTAAATGCTAGGTCATCTGACTGTGGCATTCTCCAGAGAATCTGTATACCATCCTCCCTGCTTGTGTAACAGCGGGCTTTATAATTCCACAAACAGTCCCTACCCATGACATGAATGACTCAGAATGATACTGTGCCCTTAGTTTGCCTTTCTTCTTCTCTTCTGAAACCTTCTGCATCTTTGTAAAGAGAGACACTCTTTAATCTTCAGTGAGAAATCTCAATGCAGTGGGCTCTGCATGAATCTCTCTTTGCATGAATCTGCCTAAGGCAGAATTAACCTTTAAGAAATGAACAAGATAGTATAGGACAGCTCTGTCATGTAATAGGCACTCAAAAAAGTCTGGGATGTACATATAATATATTCACAGTAAAATCTGACCATGAAATTGATTCATGTTTGGTGGCTTTCAATAGATTTTACTCTCTGTTGCTGTGATGTGAACGTGTGTGGTCTTCCTTCCCAAACTTCATCTTTTGAAATCCCCACACCCACTTTTGAAAGTGTTTTAATTTGTTCTCTGATACTGTGTTAGAACACTATAGCCAAAAGCAACTTAGGGGAGGGAAGGGTGTGCCTGGTTTACACTTCCAGCTCACAATCCCCTTTGAGGGACACTCTCATTGGATCTAAAACATCTCATTAGGACCCCTTCATTTATCATGTCTCATGATAACAGGTGCAAACTGACAAGGGCAGCCAGCCTTTGACCAGAACTCCCCAAACTCTGAGCTAACAAGGACCTCCTCATTTAGCATGTCTCACTTGTAACAGGTACAAACTGATAAGGGCAGCCAGCCATTGACTGGAACCTCCAAACTGTGATCTAACACAAAGCTTTTCTCTTTTTAAATCAATTGCCTCATGCATTTTACTACAATATAGAAATGCAGGCTCACAGAGAAAATTGGCACCGAGAAATAGAATCATTACCGTGATACCTGATGGTATTGTTCAAAAGCCCTGGGAATTGATTTCAGGAAAACTTTGGATTTTTCAAGCTAGGGAAAGCCTAGAATGTTACGTAGAGTTTAACGGACAACTTCAGTGAGAGTTCAGAATGTAATGTTAATATAATCTGTGTAGTAAAAGCCAAGCTGCTAAGGTTTTTCCTTGAAAGTTGGGGTTAAACTAGAAGTCAGATTCAAAATTGTGTTAATTCTTGACAAAGAATTTATCTGGATTTTTGTATACACCCTGAAACCCTGTGGACTGGTAGTGATTGTCCAAATTAGCAGATAGAGGAAACTTCAAGGCAAGGAACCATTTGGGGCAATATGACTGCTGTCATCTGCTTTTATCAAAATTTACAGTAAGAAACAAAAACAAAATACATAGAGGAAAATTTATAGCTTCTCAGGAAATGAGATTATTTAAAAATGCTGTCAGGAAGGGTACAATTTCTGAAGAGTGCACCATCAAATGAAGCCAAGTAGCTTGCACTAGGATAACAGGAGAAATACCATTGATGCATATCACATTTGGCTATTCCACACCCAGAGCAAGATCAAGGGTGTGAGTTTGCTTCATACGCTTTAAGAATAGAACCTCAGAATGGGCCACATACCCTGAACCAGCTCAGGTGTCATTGCCCTAGAACTCAAAGCAAGGGACTCAAACTGCTACAATCATGGTCCAAGCAGGCACAGGTGCAGCTCACATTGGCACCAGACCTTTGTGATATCTGTGTGATGTTGCTTTCCCAAGTGTGAACAATACAGGAGTTACAGCTTTATCGTGGCT